AAGCACAAGCACAAAGAAAGTAACGGGAAAAATGTTTCTGGTCACAATTCTAGCACACGGTTGCTGGTAGAAATTCTCATCACAGCATCAAAGTTTGTGTCTAATACCATGGAACTGTTCTTGGACTTATTTATCTTCATGTAGGCTCAGAACACAAATATCCTGAATTTCGCTTTTTCCCCCCTCTCTAATTTCCTGCAGGCTTCTTTGGGCCGCACAAAATTCCATAGAGGGCCACAGTTTGCCTACCCCTAATCTAAATTATGTATACTTAACCTTTTGCTATCAGCCCTTATTGGTTGCTCACTTGTGCACCATAATTGAAATTTGTGATAGTAGAACTTGACTTAAGGGGAATAATTCTAAATCATTCTCAGGCAGCCAATATACCATATACTTTATCAACACTCCCATAAACAGCAAAGTATGGGCACCACCACAGTACTGAAAGTTCTGTGGTGACTGATCTCAGCTTGATGATTGTTAATCCTGGTGCAATAGCTGCATTCTGTTTCACCATAATATGCTTTAACAGTTAATGAAACATCTGATGATTGTCTCAGAGATATTTTGGTGCGGTACTATTTTTATCCATACCTTTCTCCTACATTTGTCAAAAAGAACTCACTTCAAAGATCCTTAGCAATATTATAATAACAAATGAAGAATACAAAGGCAAAAAATATATGTTCATATAAATGCCTGCCCTAATAATTAGCGCATGATGAAATTAAAGCAGGACAAATAAGCACAGGCAGGCAGAAAAATATATGAAAAGAAAATTTACAAATTGATGATTTCGTCATGGTTCTTATCTTCAGGTCTAATGGCATATATGTTCTAAACATAAAAATGAGAGTAAACTTAAATCATGAAAACTGCCTTCACTTATTAGGCCAAAATGCAAATCTCCTCCCTTTTCCTGATCTCTCATAAAAAATAAATAAGTTAATTAAGTAATTAATCAATTAAAAAAAAAAAAAAAAATATATATATATATATATATATATATATATATATATATATATATATATATATATATATATATAAATATATATATAATCAGGCACTAGTGGCAAGGGGATAATTATTTAACTTCTTATAACCGGGCACGCTATATCATGACAGGTATATCTATAGTTGTCATGACTTGCTCAGGCAATTCGTGCAGAAAGGGCCACTGTAGACAGCAAACCCCTTCGTAGAAAGGCTAGAGGGTTGCCAGAAGTCACTGGAATGAGTAACATATCGAAATTTCTGGCACCCTCAGTGTAGGGTTAATATTCATCACTAACTGAACAGAGTACAATTCTAAATGTATATGAAGTTGTTATCCTAGATGGAGAAATATACCTTGCTGCAGTTCAGGTGTCAATTACAAATAGATCTCTATAGCAAACAAGGTATCAAGAACAGGGATATTTCATCCTTTTTTCTAACTGTGGAAATGTAGTCATTTCCGCTGGGTGGTTTCTCACTAAGAAAGCCCTCTTTCCCAGGTTGTATTCATAGTAGCCCGGGCCCCACTGCCGGGATATCGTTTCAGCGCCATAGTGTGCGCAGCATGATCATACATGCCCCCAAAAACAGGACTGGCACACCATGGAATATAAACCAGGTATATCATGACATGTACAGATAGTCCCCTACTTAAGAACATTCTCTTCACTGTGTCCTTGTGTACCGACAATTTTTGTGCCATAATTCGCTCTACCTGTGCATCAATCCATCAAAAATGTCGGGTGTGAAGAGAAAGATAATTGGTGAAGCCAGTGGAAGTGCCAAGAAACGTCAGGCTATAACATTATGATCTTATCAATCAGTTCACCAGCCAGTCACCACTACAATATATTTTCTTTTTGAATAAATTATATTTCTACATCAAATAATATTAATAAACTGCTCGAAAAGTGGCGTGTGGCTGTACGCTGCGGCGGCACGCCAAAGCACGGCGAGCCAGTAATTCGGCCTGATGTACCGAACTCACACGCTCAAAGTCGGCGCCCTGCCATTGTTTGCCAGAGCGTAGAGTTTTTTATTTACCAGTCACCACTACAATATATTTTCTTTTTGAATAAATTATGTTTATACATTGAAGTTGTATGAATCACCATCAAATAATATTAAATGCATTATATATTACAGGTACTGTATAAGGTATGTCGTACTTATTGGGATTTATGTACAGGTATTCTTAATGTAAACAAAACTTTAAAACACTGGGAAAAAAGGCAATGGAGACCCGACTTTCGACATACAGTCAAATCGAGTTCCAAACAGCCTCTCGGTCCCCATTATGTCCATAAGTTGGGGACTTACTGTATGTGGGATGGCGTGTACAGACATGTCTTGCCTACAGTGAATTCAGTTTAATAATTGTATTTATACATAGATGGCTCCACAAGTGCTTAGTCACAAATGAATCAATCACTAGTCCAATTTGCCTCACCTGTTTACTCTTTTTTAGAAATATTTTATCTTATTTATACATCAATGGCTCCACAAATGCTTAGTCACCAAGGAGTTAATTACTAGTTCTATATATCTAGCAAGTTTGTTCTTTTTAAGAATTTTTGAAAAGATTCTTCTTTTTATCTATTACCAACAGTATTGTTAATCATATGGTCAAGAACAATAATAACACCATCACTATCAAAAGCATTGGAAAAAAAAGAAACCTGGGGATATAAAGTGAAGTCTACTAATGGACTCTTTGGGGGCTGAGCACTGAGCACTTGTGGCCATCTCAGTGCGAACAAACTTCAGAAAACAAAAATTCAGTGGACTGTACATGTACTCAACATCACTGAGTTAAATTGAGTTAATTGTTTATGTTTTACTGAATACCCTCAGGTAATTATGAATTGATTATTCAGTCCTCTACTTTAGTTAAAACACTTAAGCTTCTTTTCTTTTAGGTTTACATTTGAATAAAAAATACAATATTCCAAAACTGCAATAGAAGTTAGCAAATACAATACTACCTGACCACTTGGAAATTAATTTAACTGAAAGAAAAGCTGCTTACCATTATCAGCAATAATTCTAACCAAACAACACACTTACTTTTAAAAACTAATCAGTGAAATCAAATATACATGAAAGGCAGCTCCAATAATAATAATAATAATAATAATAATAATAATAATCATCATCATCATAATAAAGAGATCCAAAAACAACTCACCACCGAATGCGCATTCACCATGATGGTTTCAATCCCTTCAGTGACAGAATTGAGCTGCTGCCTGAAGCAATCCTCCTGATCCGCAGGATTCAATCCATCGTAGGTGTTGGGCACAGGGTCGCTTGGTCTCATCCCTGAAGGCTCCAGCTGGGACATGTGCAAGTGTGGGGGATCGAGGATTCCATGGCCCACTGTGTTCATGTGGTCGAGGGGTGTGGGAGTGTATGCCATGAACCCTAGAGTATAGCCTCCAGGCTGATAGAGAACCTGTAAGAAAGTAACTCCTTTTGTGTTATTCTGTTTTTTCTTTATGTGTTGGGCTCACTTGATGGTCATAAGCCAACAGAATATAGTGGTGTGCTAAAGCATTTACACCTTGCCAATCAGGTGTTACTGTTACCTGTAAATGTTAACTAGAATGTGAGACACTCTTAGATCAAAGAAAGCAAAATCAAAACAAATAACAGATATTCAGTATATTCAAGATATTCAGTATCAAAGTGACAAAGAAGATAAAATGAGATGATAAAAAAAATAAAAAATATCTGTCAAAGCACTAAACAAATGCCTATTATGGACGTGATAACACAAAAATCAACTCACAATGACACAAAAACAAGAATGCAATGGGTGATAATGATAAGGATGATGATAGTTTAAAATAATAATTGTGCTAAAAATTGAGTGTGGTATAAAATATAAAACTTAATGAGGAAGTGAAGTACATAGAGAAAATGTTGAGGGGAGGAAAGAAAGATGACTTTGGGGGGGAATGGGTCTCAACCCTTTACAATGGAACTACAGCCTCAGGGCAATGAGAACTGTAACTTGAGGATATGCATTGTGTTTTGAATGAGTTTATGCTTGTATTATACTGAGAAACTATGTACAGATATAAACATATGCATTTTATCCTGTCTAGTTAGTGTGTTACATAATGCACAGTATCTAAAATATCTACATTTTGCATGTACTTGTTTCATTAAAGGAATTTCTTATCTATGTTAGTGAGAACATTAATCTGTGGGATCCAGGTGATGGGGACGTCTCGTCATGAAAAAATTTGGCAGAGTGGTTGGTGAATGCTATGTGCTGTCATGGAAAATTTCAGTTGAGGGCCTGGGTGACAGGGAGGTTCCATTGTGACATTCTTGCTGAGTGACACAAAATTCATAATTAGGAAGAGGCTCTTGCATTATATCCACCAGTGCATGAGGGTGGAATGTACATCTGTAAGCCATGCCTGGAAGAGTGCCAGCTCCAGGGAGGACACTCTTTCCATGCTCAGCCTCCTATTCTTGCCCACCTTGGCTGGTAGTGCAGGGAGTAATATGGAAAATTGAATATAAAAAATATAAAAACACAAATAACACTTTGTTATTATCTTGATACCACCACAACAAATGAAAATCATAGGCCTCAGATAGTCTATACAAATAGTCTATGCAGGATAAGATCTAATAGCATTGCAAAGAGGTAATGAGCCTTGAAATTGCACATGAGTGTTTGGGTCACACCTACAAACCACACAGCCAAGAGTGTCACCAGTCAAGTAAGCCTAATGCCCTTATTCTGATCCACATGCAAGCCACAAAGCACCCAGATCCAACAGGTTAAGTGAGGGGGGCAGCAGAGAATCACTAGAGAATCAATGTAACACACAGAGATTTTGTAGGTAAGGTTGAACAGGTTGAAATTATATGTGTGATTGCTTAGGCTTCAATCTTTGAGTGAAATTATGACTATGGATTTTGTGTTAAGCTATGCAACAAATGGGAACAAGGCAACGATTCAAAATTTATACAGCAATAAATAAAAGCAAAGAAGAAACATTTCTAAAATACTTCTCTTCTTCAATCTCTTTGTCAATTACAGAAATATTTGTTAATCTTTATCTCTTGTATTTACTTATGTCTATATCACCTTATATGAATTACTGGCTTGGCTTTCTGGCCCTGTCTATCACCACATCTGTTCCGTAAAACAAAAAGTGCCCCACCTGCTCTCTGACCAGCCATACCCATTGCAAAAGGGAGGTGTGCTAGTGAAGACAAATAATTGTATTTATGCTATCTTTAGAGACACTTTAAAAATCGTGAGTTATTTCATACCTTCATCAAAACAACTTAAAATAATATACTCAACAAATGGAGATCAGTAAATGCTTCCACTCCAATGGTGCTGATGATGGAGACTGTGCAAGGTGATTCTCCATATGAGTGGTATACATCATACTGTCAACTCCAAGACTGGTATGGCTAAGACAGTAAGCAAGACATGAAGCACAAGTCATATAATAAATTTAGTACACACAAACCAAGATATTTCAGATCTGTATGCACATTCTATTTCTTAAATCTACGTGCTCTTGAAGAACTATTCATCCATTCTTTTCTTCATTATTACATTCACTCACTTACCATCTATCTCATTCATTCACTCTCTTTCACTCTTTACCCACCTTTTCTTGTATATCAAATTTTAGTTGCCTGCTTGCAGATTCTCTTTCATTTTCTTGCTCTCTCATTCTTTCTTCACAAGTCACATACAAATTTACCAAAATGGAAAACACCTGTACCCTCAGACACCCAACCCATTGTATTTAAGATTAAGAACCATTGGAAAAAAAAAAAAAATTGACATTCAAAATTAGACTGAAATCTTTGAAAAATGCTATTAGTATCCCAAGTTTTTTTTTCTCCAACTTTGTATACTTATTTACTTTGACTTTTTAGCTACAATCACCTGTGGCATGGGTGAAATTGCAGGGACTGGTCTTCTTACAGTGGGTGTGGTGGCAGGTTCAGTGGTATTACTTGCAGATACCTGAATGGGGTTGGAAGGCCGGATCACAGATCTTGACATTCTTGAGATGGGCCCAAAGCGACTGACTATCGGGGGGTCGAATGGGATAAAGTCGTCTTTCCTCTTGGGGTTAACCTCGTCTTTCTTAGATATGTCAGTGCGGTAGCCAGTCGACGGGTCGTAGTTCTTCTCTACCATTTTGGGCACATTGTAAAAGTTAGCACCAGAGGTCCATATGCTGTATGTGGATGTGAACTCCTGGGACTTGATTGGCTCCTCACCATTTGCAATTTCTGTGGCAACACGATTGGTCGCCTCCTTCCCAACAATGTTCTCGAGTTGATTCAGTATAGCTTCCTTCCTTTCCTTCAGTTCTTCTATAGATTTGTTGGCTATCTTTGAAACAACAGACATAGATGAAGCACTGCTTGTAGTAGTTGTACTTTCAGACCAGGTTGAAAGGGGAGAGGAATTTGTTCCTTTGGAGCTGGTATTAGCAACTGGAATGCAATATTCACTTCCTGGACCATGAATATTATATACAGGTGTTGTATTGACTAACACTGGTGGATTGGAGCCATACATATCTGGCAAAATAGCTGTAGGCTGACCAGGGAAGACAGCAGCTGCAGCAGCAGCTGCCGCTGCTGCCGCTGCTGCTGCTGCTGCTGATTGAAGAGGTTGTGGCCCAGGAGTAGGTTGTGCAAATACCGGTGGCTGGCAAGGGAAAGAACTATAGGTATATTCTGCAACTGGAGTTGCATAGAGTGGTGTTGCTGCCAAAGCAGGTTGCACAATGGCTGGAGCTGGCGTGGGAGCTGGCAGGACTGACATTGCCTGAGTGTGAGGCTGGATAGAAACAAACTTATTTGGGTCAAATGAGGCTGGGGCTGGTGGTACTGCACCTGCTTGGGGTATTTCTTCAACAGGAAGAGCCTTCTGTATGACAGGAACGGCAACACACTCTCCATTGTTTGGGGCAATGACAGCATCAACATTTGGCTGCTGAGGTTGTTGTGGTTGTGTGGGGTGTGACAGCTGTTGGTATGTCTGTGTAGGAGGAGGCTGCAGCTTAGTTGCAGGCGTTGGGGGTGGCTGAGGAATGCCTTTGCCATGTTTCCGACTCCTGTTTCTGTACTTCTCAAGCTCATCTTCTGAATGAGCGAAAGTGCAGTTGTTACCTCTTGGACACCCCCCTCTTTGTGTCAGATCCCGGCACATGCTTGTCTTGTATTTAGCATTGTGCGGATGATGTGCATCTGGTAACTTCCTATTGCCATGGTGCTGTATGAAGTGGACAAGTCCTGTGACAACAGCTCGGACAGCCTCCATTGCAGCAGCGCAGGGCTCCCATCCTGGGGGTGGTGCATCAGGGGAGGGGTCCAGCGCTGCCAGTAATTCCAGCTGGGGCCGCAGGGAGGACAGCTGTCCAGGGTCACCTGTTCTCTGAAGCGCTATCACTAATTCCTGAAAAAAAGCAAAACGTTACCATTCCAGGCAATAAGATGATTTTCTATACACAAACAACACATTACTATACACAGTTAAATAAATATAAAAACATATTCACATTCACATTTACACACCTACAGTATGTACACCCACTTACCCACACACAAAAATATGGACACGAACCTGCACTGACTGACCAAATGACTGAGGGGTCTGCAGTTTGTCAATGATTGATTGCATATGAGATTTGTGAGCAGTGTCCCCATACAAGAGGGACGACCACTGGTCAGGTGCTATTCTTAATCCAGCTTCTGTAGCAATCTGGACAATCTGGGCATCGTGTTCTCTTCTGAGCGCCTCGTATGTCCGGAACTCCTCTTTCAACTGCATGAGGGAGGAGTCACCCTCTCGTTTTGATACCTGCAAAGGCAAAAAAGTGGGAAAAATTAACACAAAACCCCCATTATCACATACAAAGTCAAATGAAGAAGAAGAATAAAAAAAAAGGGTTATTATTATCAAACTCAATTAAAAACTTGTCCATTTACCTTGAAACACGAGGCACGGTAAAGCAACTGTACTACGTGTCCTATACTTGTTTTGGAAGCCTGTGGGAAGTGTGGTTCAAGGCGCTGGACAACGAACATGACCAAAACTTTCCTAGACAGAGCAGATCCATCTTCCAAGGCCAACAATACCAATTTCAGCACCTCTTCTTGCATTGCTGGAATATTACAAAACAAGATCTAGAACACTTTTTTTTTTTTTTTTTTTTTTTTTTTTTGGATGGCATTGGAAATGACAGTTAATTGGCATATATAATCCTAAAAAAGGATAAGGAGAAATCCTGTATAAAGACAAAATAAATAAAAGAGCTGAGCACTTGCAAAAGTAAACAATAATGAAAAAAGTGAAAGGAATAGAAATTATTAATACCAAGATATTCAATTAATCAAAAACGATGAAAACAGTAACATTAATAGTAATAATAATAATAATAATAATAATAATAATAATAATAATTCTAATAATAATAATAATAATAATTCTAATAATAATAATAATAATAATAATTCTAATAATAATAATAATAATAATAATTCTAATAATAATAATAATATTAATAATGATAATAACTTATGCCGAGATGTTCATGAATATGATGATGATAGATTTAATAATTTTTGTAAAGAAAAGCGGCAGATAATAATTAACATATTAGCAATCATTACAATAACAAATATATGATTCTTATCATCACTGTTTTCTCAATATAAACCATAATGACATTTAACAAAAAACACAACAATTGATAAGGAAATAATAAAATAAAAGAGAAGGAATTGTGAGAAAAAAATAAAATAAAGACAATAAAAAAAAAAAAGAAAGAAAAAAAAAGAAATAAAATGAGAAAGCTGCCAAAAAAAAATCACAGAAGGTAGAAAAGTCTTTTTTAAAAATTAGAAGAACAGACTACCACATGCACCTACCAGGCCCCAGAAACTGGCACCCTCTTGCTCTGACCGCAGCCCAGAGGTTGGCAGAGAGCTGCTGGTGGTTCTGGTGTTGTAAAATGAGTTCTGTGACGGTGCGTTCCCCGAGCGATCGTGCTGCCCGGACCGCCCTGGCTCTGCCCTCATCTTCCACCAATTGGCAGTTGATGAGGGTGACCAGCTTCCGTTGCATAGGCCGGGAGAGGAGCGATGTCGAGCCATTTGTTCCTGTGCCTGAAATCAAGGGGGTGATACCTATAGTTGTAAAGGAAAGTGACTGTTGACCTACTTATCATTATTAAAATAAGTTTTATGATTATTTGTTTCTATCATCATCTCTACTATCACTATTACATTATCAATATATGTAGTCATGAAGACATAAATGACCCATACACATATACACATTTCAATTCTTTTGTGTTCCGTAATAAGACCACCCAGCCACCCTACCTCCACCTCCCTACCTCCGTCTCCCTACCCATGAACTCCCAACCAGACCTCTGTAAATGCTCACCAGAGAAGGGTTTGAGAAAAAGTGCAAGATCTTTGATGCACTTCACGGCTATGAAGTATTTCCGGGTGTGAGTCGGGGGCACTGGTGGAGGGGGGGGCAGGTCTCCCTCCTCCACGTTCGTCCCAGCCCCCACCAGTGACAGCAGTGCAACATTGACCGGAAGCTGGTCCAGCTCCAGTCTCATTACAGTCTTTTTCAGAAGGACACAAGGAAAGGACAGTTTGTTATAAATTCCATAGAAATATATTTTTTACATATCTGCTATATCAAAAGAATGTGAAAAATAATGAAAAACAAAACATATCACTTGATAATAGCCATATGTCATCAATTCTGTAATACATTCATATTCACTCACCTGGTCATATGGACACTGATTGCGCTGGAGCTTGGCAAGGCAAGCACGGCACACTGTGTGTCCACACCCAAGGCTGATGGGCCCGCGCTGGCCGCCATCGAACTCATGGCAGCAGATGGGGCACGACAGGAACTCCGTCCACTGGGGGGCCTGGATCGGCATGCTCCCAGACTCGTACTACTTGTCAACTGCAGGAACACAAGTTGTACTATGAATGAAGATTGTTGATGGTTTCTTTATTAAATATAATATTAGCTCTTACCATCTAAAATGCACTAAAACAAAAATTCAAACAGTAAAACAACAAAATATAAACTATAGAAATATCTTCAGAAAAAACAAAAATACCAAGTAATGGTAAAAAAAAAAAAAAAAAAAAAAAAAAAAAAATCTAAAATTATGCACATGTAGAAAACAATAAACGCAAGAAGGGCTATTTGTAAATCTGAACAGGGGCATCTTCCTCTTGCACTCACTCTCACACAATGAGTCAGTAGCTGTAGTCTTTGTGCTGCAGCATCACTGTCCACATCATATCTATATTTCACTACACTGATGCATTAAGTACATACAGACATATCATACTATACTATATATGAATACCTGCTTATTTCAATCAATTATAAAATAATCAGGATGCATTTTGTAAATAGCTAGAAATTCTTTCTGTGATTCAACCATGCAAAATGGTCTTGGGAACTGTGTAACTATATACCATACCCTTCTAGTCTGAAACTAGCCTTAAACTACTAGTGACATTCCTGGTGACTAGTGACTAGAGACACACACCTGCAAATTTGTGACATTTGTGTGGAATTTTGGAATGTTCCCTTTGCAAATGTTAATGGCCAACTCCGTCTTTTACCTCACTTGTTTACTTAATTACTTGAATTCTTACACAAATATTAGTCTATTATGAATCCCAACCTACACTGATACACAATCACTGGTCTATACACAAAATATTATGTCTGTGAAATGTAAACACACACAACACATATCAAACATCCACATAAGCATCAAAAGAAACTACAAACTAAAAAAAAAACAAAATAACTATGTGATCCATTCAAACAAAGACAAACAAAAAGAGCAAATGATATGTAAAAATGCGAGGAGAGGTTTTCATACGAGTTGCATTACAGACAGGATGGTTGCATTCTTGATGTGGATATCTCAGGTTGTAATATATTAAAACTGAACAACTAACTGAATATTTATAGGGATGAATTTCACTACGTATGCATACTCATCTGAATCTCTGAGTATATAATCTTACCCTTCTAGAGAAAACAAGATTTGTGTGTCTATGCATGAATGTATATATGTATGTATGCATGTATAAACAAATGTATGATTTTAGTGGAAAACTTTTCCTCTGGCCTGATATAACATTTTTTTCCAAAGTTTATGAAAAAGCTAATGAAAAAAATTGCAGTTGATGACCATTTTTTGGGGTGAATCTATATTCTCCAACATACCATGAGGTAATGACAATATATTTACACAATGAATATATAAAAGAGCTTTCTAATTTTAATTTTCTTAACAGTCCACTTAAAAATATATGGATATATATCAATCCTTCCTTGATCAAACAAAAATACAAGCACTTTGAGATTATTCACATACATTATTCCATATATACCAATGGCATCACCACAGGAGATATCTGTCATGTTTATCCCAGTGCTGCCAGGATCATGCAACGTTCACTGTAGTTTGGTTTTGTGAAATGTGATTACGCGCAGATAGCTCCACAAGTGCCCAGCCACCAACGAGTCACTAAATGACCTCACCCAATTTCCCTTTCCCTTAAGTATTTTAGAAAAGTTAACACTATTAATACCAATGTTATTATTATCATTATTGACATTATGATCACCAATATTGTTATTAACAATACTAATGACAACATAAAACAAAAAAGAATATTTCTGATAATATTTGACTCCCTGGTGAGGAAGTGCTTCTGGGCCATCCGAGTTTTAAAAGTTTTTAGAAAAATTAACACTATTAATACCAAATGTTGTTATTATCATTATTGACTTTATGATCGACAATATCGTTATTAATAATGCTAATAACAACATAAAACAAAAAAGAATATTTCTAATAATATTTGACTTCCTGGTGACGAAGTGCTTCTGGAGTCATCAGAGTTTAAATGCAAACAAAAAATCAAACTCACAGTGGGTATGGCATGCACATAGTTCCATATCCCTGGCAGTGTTGGGTTAATATAGGTCTTTCTTGTGTTCCAAATCAAAATGTTTATGCGTTGTCTTTAGCAGTTTAGGAAATATAAAAGACTAATAAAAAAAATTGGTAAAAGCTACTTTTGGCTGCCAGATTATGGGGTTAAACAGACTGAATTTAGTATTTACACCACTGACAAATAATACAGGCTTAACCCCTACCCAACACATCAGTATAAAGTGATGTGCCAAAAAATGAACCAGACATCACATCCTTTGTGTCCAAAAAAAAAAAAAAAAAATTACTCTTTATTATCTTTTCAATGAGCAGTTGAAATGACTGAAGTGAGAAAGCCCATAAGAATCCTAAAACTTTATGGGTATTGTTAGTAGTCCTAATGATTTTATTTCCTAAAACAAATCAATCAAGAAGGAAAGAAAGAAGGAAAGAAAGAAAAAAAAAAAAATCTAATGTGAAGCTTGCAAAACACACAAAAAAAAAAATACAGGAAATAGGTGGGGGGGGGGGGGGGAGAGAGAGGATAAAGGGGTCTTTAAAAAAATGGAAAAAACAAATATAAATAACTATATCACACAGGCTAACAAAAATGAACGGTCTAAGTAGCTACATGCACATTCACACAAAAATCATGCATTGTGGTGCTCTGCATTTTTCACAAATTATTACAGAAATTTCTTCAGACATTTATTTATCATTTGTTATCATTTTTTTCAGAAAACATGCAAATATCAAAGTAACCTGCACAAAAAAAAATCTATCTGACAGAGTGAACCATCGCGAGTCCTTCCCAAACAATCCAAGCACATATTAGAAAGTCTTCGGTTCTAAGTTAAAAAAATAGACATCGAAAATCAACGAGCCTACAGAGTGTAAGTAGATGACTGAGATGGAACCTTCAGGTATGCATTTATGCTAGTCAAAGCTGGCTTGAGTGAGTGCAAATCTGTTTCTTCTAAGTCATTTAGGCCTAGGCACACTATGAGCGATATCATTAATCAGATAGCTATATGATAGCAATCATAGTAACAAATATAAGAATAAAAATTACAACCATAATAACAATAATAATTATATTCATAATCATATTATAATAATAACCTTAATCATAATAACAATAATAATATTTTATTATTATTATTATTATTATTATTATTATTATTATTATTATTATTATTATTATTATTATCATTATCATGATCTTTATCATAATGATAATAATGACAATGGTAATAATAATAACAACAATAATTATGATCATTACTACTGCTATTATCATCATTATCATTATCAACATTATAATGTTAGTGGCAAAAATGATAAAAATAACAATGCAAATAATAACAATAATGATAACAATGATAAAAATAATAATACTAAAGTCATACTACTACTACAATAATAATAATAAAAATAACAATGATGATGATGGTGATGATGGTGGTGATATGATGATAATGATGATGATGATGATGATAATAACAACAATAATAATAATAACAGTAGTAGTAGTAGTAGCAATAGTAGTAGTAGTAATAGTATAATAGTTATAATAATAACAACAACAATTATAATGAAAATAATAATAATAATAATGAAAATAATAATAATAATAATAATAATAATAATAACAATAATATTAACAAATATAATAACAATAATAACAATAATAATGATAGTAAAAATAATAAAAACAAAACAATGATAATAGCAATAATATAATAACAATAATATCACTAAGAACAGCAGCAAACAACAATAGCAATAACAATAATCTTAACAGTTCCCTCCCATAAGCTTGAAAAAAAAGAAAGAAAAAAAAAGAAAAAAAAAAAAAAAAAAAAAAATATCTCACCTACCTTTCCTACCTCAATACCAACCAAAAAGTTTTCTACCTATATGGATCATGAACGTTTACTGACCCGGGGAGTTCCTTACCTCTTGACCAGCATTTCAGCTTTCGTGACCTTGGACTAACAGTTTTACGTTGATCTGAAACATCATCATCTTTTGTCACTAAACTTCGAACACTTAGTACTATTACAATAATCAACCTTTAAAAAAAAAACAAAAAAACAATTGCTACTAATGAATAACTAATTAATCTATTGGGAATAGAGGTCAGTGGGTGGCATGCCATAGGCCTACATGCCATATCTACTGTGTCTTCTGTTTATCAATTTTGTTTACACAGAGATAGCTCCAAGGTGTCAGTTACTGGTTCTATATACCTCACTTGCCTACCCTTTAGCTTGATCATTAAGAAGATTACTTCTTAATTTCCATGATTAATTATTAAGTGTTACTAGTTGATTATATCTTTTTAACTAATATACTATAATTATTATAATTACATATATATATATCAATATCATTACCATTAACATTAGTAAAGGTCTCATAATGACAGGATTGATATAAACTGTATTATGAAAAAAAATCCCAAAATTTTGAGGTTCTTTGTGAATGACTGCTTTTGGGGCCATGTATGTGAAAACAAAATTCACAAAACAAATCTACAGTGGAGATATATATATCTGACACCAGTGGGTTAAGAAATATTGCTACTGATAATAATAACATTAACAACAACAACAAAGATAATGATAATAATGATAATGATAATGATAATGATAATAATGATAATAATAATAATAATAGAGATGACAATAAAAAAAATAATGATGATGATGATAAAATAATAATAATAATAATAATAATAATAATAATAATAATAATAATAATAATAATAATAATAATAATAATAATAATAATAATAATAATAATAATAACAACAACAACAACAACAACAACAATAACAATAACAATATCAATATCAATAATAATGATAATGATAATAATAATAATAAAAATAATGATAATGATAATGATAATGATAATAATAATAATAATAATAATAATAATAATAATAATAATAATAATAATAATAATAATAATAATAATAATAATA